GCTATTCTTCTTTCGCCCCAAACCTCTTGTCATTCCTGTGGACGAATACCAGCAAAAGGAGCTGAGCAGACAAGTTTGCCTCTCTCCACTATTTCACATTGGAGTCTGAGTTTCGTGTGTGTGTGTGTGTGTGTGTGTGTGTGTGTGTGTGTGTGTGTGTGTGTGTGTGCGCGCGCGTGTGTGTGTGTGCTTAAATAATTAACACCGTTCAGGCCTAAGAGATACACATTGCCTGCCTACACTGTACAATGACAAATGCATGCACTGTGTGTGAGTGTGCGTGTGTGCATGGAGGATGGTTAAGACACATTGTGTGTACACATGAGTAATGACTTTTCCCATGTTATTGGTTGTGTGCATTAGTGTTAGTTAGCTTGTCAAGATATTGAGTATTTTTTTGTTTGTTTTTTGCAAAAGTAAAACACAGACACCCCATACGTGCTTATTATTATGTGGCTGTTTTGTGTCATCGTGTGTGTGTGTGTGTTGTGTGTTAATGAGTAGGAACAATTTTCTGCAGAAACAGTTCAATACTACCACTAACACCACCGCAGGAAATACTTCATAAAATGGATAAATAAGTTTTATAAATAATATATTGTATTTTACTAGCATAATATATTTAGTCTAGTCTAGTCTGCAACAAAAAGCATATGTCTGTATTAACAAATATAATAAACTATATCCTAGATTTAGTTTTACTATAAATCAATACATGGAAAAATGTCTCATTGGATATATTAATTATCTTAAGTATTATTATCACACTGAAAAAAAAACTAATTGTGCAGACTCCCCTCAGTGTAGCAGTCTGAGCATATTTTTGAGCATTTCTGATCTCTTTAGATGCTAGATGCTCCACTATGTTCACAAGCTAGTTGCTAACTTTGTCTGCTTACTGCTTGCCAGGTTGATGAGTGCAGTGAGAGTGTATCAAAGCAGTTACTTGCAGGTTATAAAACCAAAACAATGGGCTGAAAGACACTAAAACGATCACATTATGTGTAATTTGATCCAAAATGTTGATTTGTGCTGCTTTAAGTTCATCATTATCAGTAGACGGATTATTAATATTTAATAAAACTCTAATTTAAGCAATAAGTGAAGACTTATGAGACAATCCCTTAGAATTCAAACTCTTCTCCTCGTTCTTGTTTCCTGACACCAGAAATGTCCCTAAATCACCGCCATTCCCTCTTCAGCTTAACTCAAAGCCTTTAAGGACAAAACACTCTCACACTCAGTGTTCTCGTTGTTCCTCCATATTGATTTGGTTGGTGGACTGTGTGGCCTGCAGATTGGATTAGCGTCCAGCTGTATGCCTGCCTGAGGGAAGAGACGCTGTGTTGTGGTTGTATACAGGCCAGATAGTTACTGTAGAGACAGTCTGATCCATTCTAACTGTATAGAGCATCTCTGGAGAGACATATCCCAATGGAAGCTAACATGGTTTACACAAGTTACGCAAAGATGAATTCAACATGAATTAGTTGTGTTTCAGGGTGAGAAGGTCAGAGCTGTCAGTCACTTGGTGAATAGCACACACTGTCCCACAGTAAAGTATATGTAAGCAGGCTGAGGGACGCTGATGGAGAGCACTGTTTACACCATAATGTGGAACTGGGATAAAAATCAATGTATATTGCGGACTGGGTAAGCAGGAAATAGAATGCTCCATGTTTTGTGTCCTGACTTTGGAAGTCCTGCCTCTTTTTTCACTATTTCTGTTAGACGTTGTGTATATTGTCACAGTTGAGTTAGATCTTGACAACACAAGCCTATACTTCTGTGCGCTTGCTGCTGATAATGGCTTGCAACATTGAGTCATAGCTTAGCAACAAGCCTGCTGTCCTATTTTTGGTTTCAGGCAATTATCCACAATGCAGTGTGATGGTGTGGTCCTATGACACATCCAGATTGTGGATGTAATGGAGGGGGAAAGGGCTGTACCCACATCTGTCAAGTATCTGCAGGGTGGTTCTCAAATATACAATGTTATTAAACAACAACATACAACAACAACTTTATTTTATTTTATTTTTTTAAATCATTGTATATGAAGAGGGCAAAAGGGCCCTGCAAGACAATGTTAAGTTAAGAGATTTACAATCCAAGTATTGTATGACCACACAGTTTTCTGATTTTACCTCTAATATTTGCTAAATTCTTGTAGTATACTCAAGCTTATGGTGGGTGTTTTTGCATTTTATTTGTTGATTCACTTAATGTATGCTTTATGATTTAAACAAGCAACAGATCCATCTCAACATTTCTATCATATGTTATAGTATATATACTGCATATACATGTAACGGTAGCCAGCTAGGCTGTGCAGTGAGTAAACCTCACTCCCCCATGCCTTAAGGGACGCAGTAGCGACCAATGCTAGTGCCCATGAGTTTTTGCCTCCCGTACCTGAGGTTGCTGGTTCAAGTCAGGACCGTGCAGTACAACTCGGGGTCAGTTACATATATACTAAAAGGACAGTCATATGAAATCAAATAAGATGCCTAAAATGCAATTAAAGCAATGGAAAACTTGCTGCCTGTGGTTGTTACTGCAACTGTAACACTGCGGGACATTGTGGATTTGTTTTTTCAAGATGCTCCATTGATCATTAAAATAACAATAACATCAATAATGGGCAAATTATGAGCTTACACCTACATATATTTGCATTAAGTAACAGTAACCATATAACCAGGCTGAAATCCTGCTTGTTTCTCCATGTTGCAGTTGATGTGAGACCTACATCCTCCACAGTTCAGCAGCTCACAATATTCTCTTGTGTGATGCTATATTACAGTTACAGAGTCCCACTGACCCACTGAGGTGAGTGCAGTGATGCATGTCCGCCATACAGGATTTAGGGTGGAGTTGCTCTTATCATAGCATATTATAGCTTTCAATGTAGTGTTGATGGACACACACTAGCTGCTGCAGGGATCAAACTCCTCAGCTATGTGACAGTTTCCTGCTTTACAGTGAAGCGAAAGCAGAACAAACACATTATTTTTGACAGTTTGAATGAAATTATAATGTTTGTGATTAATGTGCATTACTTTCTGGAGTAAAATTCAAATTTAAAGCCTCTAGGCTCTAGGCTTCTTCCGATAATTTAGCTGCTGTAGAGAGTGAAAAGGGGTAATTAAAGGGAAGCACTGATCTAATAAACTGAGAATGAGGTTGTTTCATTCTCATGTCAGTCATATTGCTGCAGATGTTCTTACTGTACTGTAGCATTCACCCTCAGTCATTTCCATCTGCATATGACAAGTAAAACTGCTGTGAAGGAAAGACTAAATAAATGAGTCTCATGTAGATTACAAAAAGGAAATGGCTTGGGTTTTATGAATCACATTATAGGACAGCATGCTAAAGCCACAGACACTACAAATGAAACATGCAATTTTTGCAAAGATAGATAGTTAGTTAGAGAATTCTCTGTTGTGAGTTTTGATTTGAAGACAGAGTTCACGGGTCACCCACAGCTGTCTGGTTGGATGTTTCCTGATGCAACTGAGGACATCAAGGTCGTGATCCTTCTCTCTGACTTCTTTGCGTATTAGCTCACAATATTCTGTTTCTGTTCTGGTGTCTGTTTTGTTTTTTCTATCTGCTCACTGTTGAATCACACTGAATCTCTCCTTTGTCTGATATTCTCTTGGTCTTGGTTTTAAATAATCCCTGTTTCATCAGGAGATGCATATGACTAAGGAAGCAGGAGTGCAAATGCATAAGCACTGACCATGGATTTCTCTCCACTACCTGTTATACATCTGCCCATAAGATGTTCAGTCAATGTGTTTTTGTGTGTATGTTGTACATGCAGTTTATTTTATATTTTAAAACAGAGGCATGTAGTGAACCATGCATCACTGACTACCTGCTGGGACAACAAGTAGGCAGCTGTATTCATTTTGAGTTTGATTTTCTGTTTCAGTTAATTGGTACTGACATCACTTTTACAGTCTGACCTTTCAGCCTTCTTTTAAACACAGACATTTTGTTTGTATATTTTATTTATGTGGGCTGGTAATAATACAAAAAACACATTAGTGTTTTAAACTGTTGTGTTTGCAGCTTCATTACTACTACTATTGCAAAGGTTATGTCTAAGGTTTTTGGCATATAGTACTTAATATTTACTGAATAACTGAACATCAGCTAATTTATAGATTGCGTTTAATGTTTATACTTTGCTATTTTACCATAGTCCTAAAGATATTTTTCTTCAGCAGTTTTAAAGCAGTGGGCATGAACAAAAGTATCTGGGATTAGGCATTTGTGAGTCCTGAATGCATGCATAAAACATCTGCTGTCATTCAACCATGGGCTTGGCTTGAAGATATTGCAACACAAAATCTCCTCAGTCAACCAATCAGCTTGTCTTTATCTCCTCTTTTTTTCCCCATCCACTCCTCTTCATTTCCATGTACCCTCTGTTTATGCTTCACCTCTCAACATCTATCTCTCACACCGCCTTCTCCATCCCCTCCATCATTTTGTCTCTGCATTTCACATCTATTTATCAGACCCCTTTCTACGCGCATTACTCAGCTCATCTTGACCTCTTTCTCCCTCTCGCTCCATGTCAATTCACCGCTCACTCTGTCTTTATTCCTCTTACCTACTCAGTCACTTCAGCTCTCCTCACTCCCAACATCCATTCATTTCTTTGATGGTGTTCTTTACAGGACTCATTTCCATTGCTGCTCTGCTATTGAATGCTGATTTCCCTCTCTCTAACGCTTCTTTTTTTCTGTCTGAGATCCTATATTATGAGCAGCATTTGTAGGATGATTCTATTACATGTCTCCTAACTGCTGGATAATTCAATAACCACCACTGAGATGACACACAGTTATAATCTACTTAATGAAGCCACTGTACTGATGAATTGTATCATTTCTTCTTTCACTTGATCCCTACTCTCCTCTACTCTGTTCTACTCTTTCTCTCTCTTTGTTCCTCTCCTCCCATCCTCTTGCTCTCCACAGGGTGTTGATGGAGAGCCATTCGAATGACAGCCGGGACAGTGGTCATCACTGGCGGAATTCTAGCGACAGTTATATTACTCCTTATCATCGCAGTACTGTGCTACTGTAGGCTGCAGGTGAGACCAGTTGTTGATAGTCATAGGATGGTGTTAAATAATAAGTATAGATATTTTCATAGGTGGAATTATTTTGTGACCCTCAATTACCAAGGATAACAGAGGCTTTCTTTCAACCAAACATTTTAATTCATGAGTATAGCTACATTCTTTGTCTGTGTCTGCCAACGTTGATTATCTTATCTTGATTATTCTTATAGAAAATGTTTAGAAATCTGCACTGGTGGCCATGATATCTGGAGGAGTCGCAAAGCCTGTTAAGCGAATATTAGGGCTTTGTACAAGGATTGTTGACAGTAGACATGTAACTAACCTATTTGACCATCATGAAATGTCATCAGATTTGGCAGGATGTCTCAGAATGTGCACAGTCATCAAAATTTGGTTGCCAACCAAAACATTTAGCGCTTTATAAATGGCCACATATAATGCATCAGCACCTAAAACAAAAATGTTTTCCTTGGCACATGGTAGAAACCTCTCACCAAATTTCACCAACTTAGCCTGTGAGTTGCTTTGAAATCCATAAAATCCATAACAACAGTAAAGTAGAATGCAATGGCCATGCTAGCAGCTCTGTGAGGCTGTACTTTAACAATGCCTTTAGCTTGATGCGAATGTCAGCATGTCGCCATGCTGACAATGACAAAGCCAAAATGTTGATGTTTAAAAGGAATAATGTTTCCTGTGTTTACCATATTTAGTTTAGTGTGTTAGCATGCTAACATGTGCTCATTAGCATTAAACACAAAGTACAGCTGAGGCTGTGCACTTTCTGTATCAGTAGTTCTTGGGCTTTGGGACTCAAATCAGGGACAGATCATATTTGGAACTTCAGGCGAATCATAGCCTATATTGAATAGAAAATGTCCAATATTGCTTCAACACAATAGAAATAAAAGCATCAATAAGCTCCAATACTTTTCATTTCATACCAGTAAACAAAAATGTGTTAGCACTTGGCTTTCAACGGCACTTATGCCTCAGCGTTTCTCCAGTCTGAACCCAGACTTGTCTACAAGGTCTTAAAGTTTAGCAAATCATTATATGGAAACTTATCTCACATTAGAAGTGTTACAGACTTCAGTTTCATTTCCTACAAAGAAAATCACATTGTGGTCATTTTAATTAAATAGTCATCGTGTTGTCCATCTTTCTATGCTGTTGTGCTCTGTACATTCATTGTGCATTAACCTGCTTGGACTTTGGACATTAAAAATGTACTAGAAATTGAGTTACGATTTCTTTCTGGTGGGGAGTTGGATGAGAAGGAGATGGATACCACTGTCCATCAAATATAAGGCTGCAGACTGCTGCCAGTTAGCTTAGCTTAACACGAAGATTGGAGACAGTGGAAAACAGCTGGCTTGGCTCTGTCAAATGGTGACAAAATCCACCTACCAGCACTGAAGTGTAAAACCACGATTTGCCTTTTTACAGATGTTTATGTGCCTGATCATTTCTTGGCCATGATCAGTAAATTCCTGGAGGATCTTCTGGTTGGCTGGGAACTGCTCAGAGCCAAGAAATAGTCAGGCAGATAACCCCCTTAATAAAAGACAACAAAAAAAATATTTTTACACTTCAGTTTTTATGCAGATTATATAAACAAGATAAAACATGTTAATTAATGAGCTTTAGAGGTGCTGGTGGGCAGATCTTGATATGTTATGCTAAACTAAGCTAACCAGCTTCTGTCCGTGGAGGGTTATCGGCTATCTACTTTATAGACAAAGGGTGTTACTGTATCAGTCTTTTCATCTAATTCTGCCAGAAACCAAATAATCTTATTTCCCAAAATGTCAAACTTTTGCTTTAATTTATCAACTTCTTCCCCTAATTTGCTTAATTTTGTGTAACTGTACACCTAAAATCAACTTAAAGTTAAAGTTGCATACTTTTTAAATACTAAAAGGCCTTTTCACACCTGTGGGACTGAGCTTTATTACAACACTGACCACTGACACCATGACTGATCCTTCGTATCAAGGTTCAGAAAATATGTGGGAAAGCAACATCTTGCAACATCTTGTTATCATGTAGCTCTTCATTTGCTCCCCAGCCTCTAACAGAGTACAGGGACAGGACAGAGTCCATGAGCAAGACACTGAACTCCAAATTGCTCACAATGGTATCACTAGGGCCTTCTATGGTAGCTCATGCGAATGGGTGACAGAGATGCTAATTATAAAGCACCTTGAATTAAAGCAGTCCATTTACCAAGATCAACTGGAAACTAAGGTGAAATTGCTAGAGTGGAAATAATATGATCCTTTTCACTTTGAGCTGATTACAGTTCTTAGGATTTTTATATTTCACAGTAAAATCAAAAGTGACCCCCAAATTATAGTTCATATTTGTGGGCATGATGCCAGGAATTCATTTGAAAACTACATTTTGTGGGCCAGAAATAGCAACCATAAATTCTCCACTGAAAGGTGGATTCTGTATACAAGTCTGTTCAAAATTGTTGAGGATTTGTCACAGAAATCAGACTAAGCCTTTCTGACACTGTAGCGTACAGCTTCACGGTTATGGCACATCTAGGGTCATGTGGGTTGAAGAACACCTCATGGATAAATAATGTGGGGCTAAATTTTGAGAGATATGCTGTTTGCACTAATATTCTCCCTCATTTCTTTTCTTGTCTCTGCTCCCCATCATCCTCCATATCCCGCAATCCTTCCTCTCCCACCACCAGTATTATTGCTGCAAGAAGGAAGAGTCCGAGTCGGAGGAGGAGGAGCCAGACTTTGCAGTTACCTCCCGCCTCCCGCCAGTCCACTCCAATCATAACATTGTGGCGGCAACGGCCGCCGCCTCCTCCATCCCAAATGGCCCCGCCCTTTTCTCCACCCCTCCGCTGGCCAGGAAACTAACACGTTCACAGACCTTCTGTCCATCCTGTACGCACTATGAGTTGCCTTTCTACCTCCAGCCCCCTCAGCCGCAGCTACACCATCAACCAGATGGATTGAGGAACGGAGGTGACCGGATCAGCTACCGCAGCGTCCAGCAGCAGGATCTGGACCTGCCAGTGCCTGTGAACATTTCAAACTACCGTAAACCAAACCTCGCCCGGTCGGTAACCATGAGGGACATGTTCACACGCAGCTGTAGCATCAGTACGGATGTTTAGCTTGGTGAGGCTGGAACTCGGTGTAAGTTTATGCTTAAATTAAGTGGGATGGCCTAGGCCGGACTGGGTTTTTGTCATCTTGACCAGTTTAGTCCAGTCTAGTATGGGGTGATCTAGTCTGGTCTCGTTCTACTGGTCACCTCCTTGCAGAATGGAGGACTCAGATGGCTCTCAGGACAGGATTTTCAAAGGTACTATGCTCAGGTCCAGGACCTTACACTTGGGCCAATATAGAGTTCAAAGTATTTAAAAAATGTTAAGTTATCAATAACATGAACTTCTTGGTTTGTTTTGTTTTGAATAACTCTTTTTTAATGATAAGAATGGAATTTGTTTTACGATTTTAAAATTTTTTGTGTAGCCCTACTTCCTCTGGACTCTACCCATGTTCTACCCATGGATGAAACATAGACAGATTCCCGCCATGTCAAAATGACATAATCAGCAGGGATTTTCTCTCTGCCATAGCTGCTACAAACAAAATATTATTAGGAGAAGTCCAGTGTTTCCCTCTCCTGTGATGGGATGATCTGTCTGTTCCTCCATCTACAGATTATAGAGATTATAAAATATCACCCACCACCAGTGGAGAGACTAGAAGAGGAAGCAGGATGTCGAGTTTTAGCAGCCACACACAGGCATTTTACATAGATTTAACATAGGCCATAATATTTTAAAGACATAAAGGGCTCACAGAAGAAGTAAATACCTGCTTGTTTTTCCTTTCATAGATGCCTCCAGTTTGACGGGAGGCTGGTTTCTCAGAGCATCTGCTGACAACACAAAGTGTACATATATAAATATGTAGTATACTACACTTCAGCAGAGAAAGACCTCTGTGTTCTTGCCAGCAGGGTGGACCAGGTGCCAAAGGGGGATGGGTTCTTGTATTTGTGTGTGCGTGTGCTTGCATGCATGTATGCGTGTGTGTGTGTGTGTATAACTTGATCAATTGTTATACAAGAATTCATATTCCATACAATTAAACACAATCTGTCCCCCCTATATGAACCCAGTGGTGGGTTGCAATAACATTTTAAACATTTATTGTAAAGGGTGAAGGGATTGTATTAGTTTCCGTCTGTCAGTTTTACCTTTAAATTCATGTTAGTGCTAAGAATGACCCAACCAAATGATACGACAAACTCTTAGGTGGGTTTGCAGCTATTTTGTAAATGTCTATTTTACTGATTAATGCTATACCACAGAGTCAAGTTGCAGGTGGCAGTCACGTAACTTTACAAAGTGATATTCATTATAGTTCTTCGCTGAAGTTTCATTTTGTGGACTGCATTCCTTGCGCTGTCTCTGATTTGTTGATATATGGATTCATTGGCTTAAGATTAATTCACCTTTGAAGGCATATCTATAAATATTTAACAGGCAGTAACATACACTCCAGCCTCTCTCTTCTCTCAACTCGTTGGACTGAGGAATATTTGCTCGTGCTATGAGGTACTCGGAGAATTCCTTCTTGCGTTTGTTTTTATTTTCTGCACTTGGCAAACCGGCTGGGCTCGAGGGCTCATATTCTGACTGGAGGAAGCAGTGGCTGAATTTTATGGACACAAGACACACATTTAATGAATGAAATTATTTACTGCTGTGTTTCAAGAAGAAATGCCAGTGGTTGTGTGAGGGGCTTGAAGCCGATTGGATTGTCCCTCTTGGATCCCCCGCCCCTCAAAATGGATGGTAAATGCTGTTGTACGCCCTCTCTCTCTCTTTCTCTCTTTCTGTCTCTGATGATTTTATCAGCAATCATGCTCATTTATTTTCCCAAAGGGTCAAAACGTGAGTGATTTTGTTTTAAGTTTTTCCTCTTGTGACATGTGCTTCCCTGCAAATATACTATGACACACAAACACATGCACGCACACATACACACAGTTCTCAATGCTATGCTTTCCTTACTTTTTAAAAAGAAACTATGTGACAGTTGCACAAGACATTTAGTGCCATAAAGAATTATAAGAGAAATGTATTATTATTATTATTACAAGTGTTTATTCAAATGCAGTGTTGCTTTTACCCTGAAGTATTTGAATTACTTTCTTTATTTTATGATCCATCTGGTTTTTCAGACTCAGTACAGTACAGCAGAAATGTTTCTGTCCTTGTTTCTAATGTATAACTAACACACACATTGTTGCTAATAAAATGGTGTGAAACTCCTTCTGATATGGTTTGCTGTTGCTGTTAATTTTACCAAAACCAAATGTGGAGTAAAATGTCCTTGTGATTCAAATTCATATTCAAATGTTTTTGAATGACAAGCCTGGGCAGTCATTCATTCAATTCAAGTAATTTACACGTTTTAAAAGATGTTTGCGTGGTGTATACTTTAATATGAAGTGAAGCCTCTTGATACAAAGGTTTATCCATAGACATTTACTGTAATGAGAATATGTATTCCCTGGGCAGGCAGGACTCCACAGGACCGTATTTCTGCTAGCTGCCAAATGTTGAACAGTGGATTCAACTAAAAGCATGGTGCATCATCCGGGATTATCTGATTTAGTCAATTGCTGTAGGCACGGTAAATATCAGCTAGATGAAACATATGCTTTGGTCGGAGCACCACACCACAAACAGCCGAGCCGTACAGAGAGCCCGGCAGGCAATCTTGTAGAAAATACAAATTTTATTTGATGTCTAGACTGCAGGATTTAGACCATTAGGTTTGCCGATTAAAGTAGATTTTTTTGGATATCTGAAGAAAAATGAATGTGTGCTATCCTAGATTGAAAACAGCAATCCAGTTCTGATTTGTTTGGTGTATATGTTGGCTATTTGTTGTTGATGCCACTAATAAGCCAACATCTGTTCATAATCTCAATTGACAGAGGAAAATGATTATTATGAAATGATTGTTATTGCATAGCGACAGTTGTATTCTCTAAAAGGTTACAGGTGTAAATGTGTCTGGAAACCAGTGAACCTACTAACATGTTTTTTTTTCTTTTATGTTCAAAGTCAAACATCTGACAAACTGCAACAGATCAAATTTTAACATGAGAAAATGGTGAAGCCTGCCAAACCTTTAACCGCAGTAACAGCGATAAGGCGTCTGTTTGCACACAGATCCCGTCAGCCCTGCGGCGACGAGGTGAGAGTCATGACAGAAAAAATGTATGAATTGAAAGGGAAAAGAAACAAGAATGGGATGCTTAAGTGCGACGATAAACCGACCTGACGGTTAGAGGCGAGGAGATGATAGTCACAGTGAAAACTCACCCGTGCAGAAAGGATAAGAAACGAAAATGGGAAGCTTTATTCTGGCAATAAACTGAGTGAGTCAGAGAGGGAAGAAGACTAATCACACAATAGAAACACAACTGAAAACTATTTCAGAGAGGAAATAGAAGTAGTTATTAGAAAGATCAGTCACAGCTAATGAATAAGAAATAGCACATAGCACAGAATACACAGACAGATGGAGGCGTAGAGGAGTTGATATCAAACCAAGGCCTCCCTGGCAGAGACATGAATAGACCTTTTGTGATGGCATTAATACAACAGCACTGCTTCAGACATGAAAAACCTTTCACATTATGATGGATTCCCTTGGACGTGGATACATTCAAACTCCCAATATAATTCTACATGAATTACTGTAACAGGGAATTGTCACACTTGCATTCCACCCACAAGGCAAATTGGCTGCAAATGTTTTTATTGATTCTCTTTACAGTAACCATAATTTACATGTACCAGGACCACATGTCTGATAATTCAGTTTTGCAGTGGAGAACACGTTTAGCACGCTGTAGCTTTGCTCAGAGACTAGAAGCATGGCAAGCAACTGCTAGCCTGTCAAACAAAAAGACATCTGTGAACATTGTTGAAAACACCTGATGCGTTGAATGAGGTCTGTCAATGCTATTTTAAATGACATGTTGTGAAAGTGAGGTTGGAGGTCTGTGATGGCATCCTTCCATCACGACTGACATTGTGCAGCTCAGCAAGAGTCTGCCTCATAACTAAAACCGCCAAACAATCTATTATCTAATCTATGCTTTTTATCTAAGAGTACTTCACTCTGGCTAATACAAGTCTTTCCTTCTGAGAGTTAACCAGCTCTCCACCAAGATCTCCAAAATGTGTGTATTTCAATAAAACCACTGATTTGTGCTGTTATGGATGTCTGAAGTATACATTTTCTGACTGCTTGCATGTGTGCACTACAGGAGTATATATGTGTTTGTATGTAGGTTTTACTGGTGAAGTTTGTGTTTGTGTATTTTGCGTGCATTCTGCATATTTTCAGTTTGTGTACGGTAGTACGGGAGTCCTCACTGGCCCTGAATTCAAACATTTTATTTCCTGTGATAACAAGTTAATTCTATTCGTTTTCTCAAGATCACGAGAACTTTATTTACGTCATTATCTCAAAATAACAAATGTTGTTTTCCCAAGATGACGAGATATAGTTGGCTGGGTTTTATGATCTCCAGATTTCGAGAAAATTATTCCGTTAATTCAAGACACTGACATAAATAACTTTTGATCTCAAGAAAACAATAAAAATTAACTTGTTATCACGGGAAAATGTGGAAATAAAATGTTTAAATCCATGGCCGTTTAGGGATCTTAAAAAGAAACCCTTGCGCATGCTATATGAATTATTTAGAAGCATAATTGCCACCAGTGTAAGCAAAGCTCATAGCACAGCCTTTAGCTGTCTATCGATGTTTTATGAAATGCTTTGATTCATCCCCTCTCTCACTCTGTCTGTCCACTGCATCTCTTATAATATCTCTTTCTCTTGTTCTTGATTCTCTGCTCTCTCCCCGTCTCCCTTAGCCTACTCTCTAGTACTACATGATGTGTGTGTGTGTGTGTGTGTGTGTGTGTGTGTGTGTGTGTGTGTGTGTGTCTGTGTGTGTGCGTGTGTGTGTGTGTGCGTGTGTGTGTGTGCCTATTTTATGGTCTCTGGCCATAATTCCCCAACAGTGGAATTTAGATGCAGTACAGAGGACGGCCGGGATTCCATGAATTATGAATGCGATAGATATGAGGCTTTCCAACTAACATCGCAAACCAAAGCTTCTTGCCCATTCTCCTCCGTTCCTTTTATTGTCCTGCTGCTTCACCCTCCTTCCTCTTCCCTCCTGTCATTCCCACTCCTTGTCCTTCCCTTGCTCGGATTTTCCTTACTTTTTTTCACCGCCTCCTGTTCCACCTCCTACCTCTTATGTTCTCTTTTCAAATCCAGCTTTTCTATATAACCCTGTTATGAAACTTTCTTTAGATTGTCAACAGTAAAAGACAAATAGATGGATTTCATATTTTAGATAGATTTCTGATGCTATTTTCTGTCTGTTTTGTTTGTGGTACGCAACGCCATTGAAAAATAACTTATCTTTCCACACTGGAAATGTGGTTGTTTACCTGCTTTGTTCATTTCTTAGTATATTTTGTGCAAAAAACACCACCGAATATCACTATAGAAAAGTAAATTGGCTTAGGTATGTCACAAGAAAATAAAAAAGTAAAAGTTCATTCTTTGTCTTAGAAACAGTAGTTTGACCAAAGAAAATCTTAATGCAAAGTCAACTTACTAGCATTTTCCAGAGATTCCAACTAAATCTCACAGCCTTCCTCATTGGTTGGAGTTTTCTCAGAAAAAGCTAGCTAGCTGGATCTGAAATTAAGGGAAAAAAAACAAAAATGCAAATGTGAGCTCAATGAAGACTTAATATAAACATTCACAAATAAACAGTTAATAGGTAACCAACATGTCCTCCTACCTAAATGACAAAAAAGGTTCATTTAGTGATGTGTTTGTTGCAAACGAGTCTGCATCTATGAGCCCACTCTATTAAGTGAATGATTGGAGCCAGCTTCCTTCAAAGAACAGTAATTCCCATCATTAGGTTGTTGTTGTTGTCCCACAATGACATACGACCATTCCCAAAAACTGGTATGTACGAGAATTGGCAAGTACCAGTCCAGTGACAGGCATACAGCCCTTTAAGTGCATTATGAAGGCACATGACCTAAGTCACATGACGTTTAACACATGATAAAAGTTGTAAAACGGCGTAGTTTGGTTAGGTGTAGGCAACAAAACTACTTGGTTAGGTTTAGGAAAAGATTAAAATAAGTACATTACGTAAGTAATGTGATGTTAGTAACCTATGAAATGTTAGTTAACTTTTAAATTTAACTTTGAATGTTCCAACTTTGAGTTTTTTCACATGTGACTCAAACCTATGTCTCCTGAGTGACAGTCCTTAGTTTACTTGACACATCCATCCAACCCACCACCCTCCTTACAAAGAGGGTTGGAGCCTAACTAAAAACGTAAATATGGGTCATAATAAGCTGCTGCACAATCGACCTACAGGACGTTTGTCTGTCAAGGACAGGCTGCACACAAAACACATTAGGTCTTTTTCACAAAGACATTTTTGACATGTCACAGTTGATCTATTCTCACCTGGTCATGAGCTGTGGAAGAAATGAGATCATGGAAACAAGTAGAAATCCGTAGGTTTGGTTTCCTCTGTAGGGTGGCAAATCTGAGCCTTAGAGATAGGCTGAGAAGTTTGGACATCTGGAGTGAGCTTGGTGTAAAGCCCCTGGTCCTTTGCATTGAAAGGAGACAGTTGATGTGGTTTGGGCATCTGATTAGGATGTCTCCTGGGCACCTTCCTTTGGAGGTTTTCCATGTACGTCCAACTGGGAGGAAAACTAGAACTCACTGGAGAGATATATATCTCATCTTGGATGGACAGTAGGAAAAGTTAATGTAAAAATAATAAAATAAATGATTTAGTTTCAGGGTCCTGGTATTGTGCATGCTGGTGGCGCACTGTCACACTTTCATGACTGACTGGGACACTTGAATCGAACAGAGCCATTGATAATGTTCTTAGTAACACCTATGCTTTCCCTATGACAAGCACAAATGCCTGCTGTAAAAAAAAATATCTATAGAGTATAGCTATGAGCCTATAAGATTCAAATAATACACCCATCCACCTGCATACCTTGACTACTAATTAGTTTAATAAGCAGTGTTCTTGAGTAGGTATAAACTAAGACTCCTGCTAACTCCTGTAATGATACTGTGTATTACAGAACATGTACACAATATTCCATGCCAAAAGTTTAGTCTTTTATTTTGGCATTCCTGAGATTCCTCATCACCAGTATGGACATTACCCAGACTGCCACA